TGTAACAGATGACACATTCTTGGAAATCAAATAAAAGCAACAGGGAAATACCCATTGTTGCCTGGTGAAGGCCTAATCACATGGACACAGCTGGAACCAATGTAGATCATTCATTAATAAAATTGTATTGTAGTAGCCACTTTTTGATGCATTTCAACTGCTGTCATAGCCAAATTCCTGCATTTCTTTGTTTAACGTTAGTAAGATTGTTTTAATGGGGAATATAAGATGATTTAGGATGGGGGATAAAAATCCTGTTCTCACGCTAAAAAAGAGAATACCTCAAAAAGCTGAATGTCACTTTACCTTGCAATCGACTTATACTATCAGCACCTTAAAATATGCAGAGTAAACCTGAAAAGGGGAACTCATATGGTACTATGGATAAAAAGTGAGCAGTGTGAGATGCCACAGAAAACATATGAAATACCTGTGAAAGTATTCTACAGAATAATATGTGGGTGAAAAATCAACATGTATTGGTAATTGGAGGGGAGGGAATCAAACAACTGAATTAACATGTACCCTTTCATGCAATACTCTCTACTGAACTTTTCAAACTGAAGTATGTTCCATAGGCTTAAGGGAACATTATTCATATTTCTGACCACATGAACTTAGAAATCTCTATTTGTTACTATATCCTATGAATATCTGCTATCAAATAATATATTCAAATCACCTACCCAGGAGTTAAGTTTGAAATCTCTGCTAATATTTGAATAAAATAAAATATTAGTTATAATTACAAATTTGGCACTTAATACAGTCTCAGCTAAAATAATAAAGAGCGTTGATGCAATTTTGCCATTATCCCTTAATAAATTTATTTTTCCATGTTTCTAGAAATGTAATGATTAAATCACTATATCACAATTTTTGAAAACTGTATTTCAAACTATAAAGATATAATAGCTTAGATACATGTTCTAAATTAAACAAACTATAGAATTTATTACCTACAAAAATGAAAACAGCATTTAACAAGCAACTGCTCAAACATTATAGCTCTTAAATATGTATTACCTATGCCTCTGTGTATAGTTAGAATAAACAAGTAAATAAGACAATCATGCTGCAAATTCCTAAGTCACTGAAAGATACATCTCTACCCTAGAAAAGATGAAGGGCTTAATTGCAAGTAAAAAATTATACCACTTCAGAAAATGTATTTAAAGCCAGTAGATGGTATTTAATATACAATAAACATTATTTAATATACCTGGACTTACAGAGTCAAAGAGGTTTTTTGCCTGTATTATCTTTAATCACCAATTCTAATATTATCAGACCTTGGCACAGGGGATTTAAAACAGTCATGAACATAACTGGACCAAGAAAAAAAAAAATTCAATGGCATTCCGTCTCAAAAGTGTCATAATTCAGAAGCTTAAAATGTTGACCTAAGAGTTTAATTAATATAACTTACCAGGAATTCCACCCAGATTCATTTCAGCAGCTCTACAGACAAAGTCACTTAAATACAACTTTAAAAAGATAGCACTGAGGGAATGGGAAATTGTAGTACTTATTAAATGTGCATTATATAGACAAAACAGTATGAGTGTTGGTTTTGTTAAAGTAATGAGCCAATATGTTACTGAACGTCTTGAGAATAAGGGAAAATAACAGGTGAGTTTATTTAGTGCATACTTCTGATATCCCTGTGTTACAAATTCTTTTAATGATTTTAAAGCATTTTCTAAATTAAAAATAAATCTCTGGGAAAAACTAACTGCTATATTGCACAATTTTATGTTAATGCATCTATAACAGATATATGCCCCAGGATATATGGCAGTAAAAGTGTTTCACAATAACAATTCTAGTCATACTTGTTACACTGTTACAAAAATACATGAGTATTTCTTCCCAAAGTAATTTTCTTATTGCCAAAAATCACTGACAATTTTTAAAATAAAATTCAGTTAAAATAATATCAATAGCCTCCTTAAAAACCATATTCTGTCTATCCAACTATTTTTATTCTGATTACAAAAAAACTAATGTTTAAAATAGATCACTCGGAAGTAAATTATTTTTTGATAACACAACAGAAGCATACTTACATTTTAATGCACATTCTATGAAATTTCATAGAATGCTTGCTCACAGTGAAAATCTAGTGTCCTGCTCAAATCATCTTCATTTAAAAATCATAATATCACATTTTTATATTCCTCCTAATAGTAGATCACCGACTATAATTTAGCGAGAATTGGGAAACTTAAAAACACTTCTGTATTTTTCCTTGCATTTTGATTTCAAAGGGCCAAAATTTTAAATGCACATTCTTTTATTTAATGGAAGTTCACTTTCCTATCTAGCAACACTTATCAGAAAATCTGAAAATGAGTATTCAATTTATAAAAGGTATGAACTGACTCTGAACTTTAGAGAAAAACAGAAAACAATGCCAGGCTTTTTGGTCTCGACAAACGATAGCTTAGCATAAAAATCCATATAATGCAAGCAATATCACTCAAAAGTTTCAGTTCAAATAACAAGCTGTGAAGCAGACAATATTCCAACTATACAAAAATACTATGTCAACATGACCAAAGTTAGTAACATTCAGAAGGGCTTTTTGAAAAGTTGTGGTAAAAATTTAACTGTGAAGGAAATCTCAAAGAGAGCTGGAAAAGGCAAATTTAGCACAAGCTTCTGTAAGCAACAATGGTATTTACTCAGCATGGAAGCAGTGAGGAGAATTTAGTTCCTATTTAAGAAAATGTATATTTTTTAACGATGGTGGTCTGTGTGAAGAAAAAGGAACACAAGAGGGAAAAGATCTGGTCTAAGCAGGAAAGACTAAGGCTGCTTGCCTTCAGTGATGCTGTGAGGGTAGACCCTCTGCCTTACGGAAACCACTGCCAGAACCAAGCTACACAAAACATTTTGGCTGCCAGCCTATAACAGTGCCAGGCTGTTTTTTATTTTTGTGCTAGACTCCCTCAATTGAGACAGTGTGGGATTGTCACTTTGATGTACATTGAGAACAAAGAATAATATGGTACGGGGGGTGGTGAGAGATTTTTTGCCCCTTTAAAGTCAGGTTAGCATTTTGTTTTCTTTGACAGGTCTTGAAAAGACCTAAGAAACAAAAGTAACATTGAAGAATGCATCAATTGCCTCAAGAAATTAGTGTGAGTACAATATTGTTGACAGTTTAAAAAGCCATTCGAGAGATTAACATTTTTAAAAACCAGATTTAAAAGAGGTCCAAGTTATCTAGTTACCTGTTTAAGAGGACAGAGAGCAAGAAATACATGATTCACAATCATGTAATCTTATTTAAAATCAGAAAGGATTAAGAAAGGCCATAAAATCTGGCAAAAAAAAAAAAGTATAATTTTTAGGATACAATTCAGAGGCAACTATGTCAGCTGCTATTCTGGCCTTGATTTCTCCAAAATTAAATAATCTGATTAAAAGATTATAACATTAGAGTCTGAATATTATATGTCTTCTCAGGGAAAGAAGTGATAAATGAGCAAAAATGTTTAAAGGATTGAACCACAAATCATCTAGAAAGTTGCCACAGACACAAACAGGAAAACCAACTCTTCTATTCAGTTCTGTACTACAAGCAAAGCTAACACAAATAAAAAAGCCAAGCGTGTGCCGTTACAAGTTTCAACTAAATATCCTACCTGAATGTGGTAATTAAAAATACCAGTAAGTCATTAGCTTCTAGAGGTATGACCTTTTTCTCTCTAATGTACAAGGTAAATACAGGCAGAGGTCCATTTTCTACAAAACAAATGAAAAGAAAGAATGAACTGTGACAAGACTAGATCCCATGCCGGCATATTTTACACTAAGCTCAGCATCGTCTAGAAGCAGTATGCTTCTCCCTGCCAATCAGGGGGAGAAAAAGTTGTGAAACTAATACAGCATTGATGAATAGCACCAAAGGTCTATTAGTTCCTTCCTCCTGCACATCTCCACTGAATCAGCTGTTAAAAGAAGACCAATGGCTGTTACAGAAATAGCAAGAACTAAAGCACTTGCCTCAGATGTTACACATGGAGGCATGAAGCATTTACCACCTGAGCCTATCTAATTTCCGACAAAACGATCCCCTGCCCAGTTTTGTTCATGGCCACAGGATCTGACAGCAAGTCAGGATCAGTGTTGGGAATGGCAGTAGGGGAGTGAGAACATGGGGAAGAAACCATGTAACAGTGGCTAAACTTCAAACAATATACACGCTTCTCTTATTATCAAATTAGTGTCCATTCACAACACTTTAGGATGACAAAAGCTGTGGTAAAGGTATCAGGTACAATGATTTACTTCCGGTGGCAACTTGAAGTCTGCATATAATTAAAGAAAGCATTATTTTGCTCCCACACTGTTCTCCTTTTCCATTTTCCTTTCTTTCCTCTAGGATATGCTGCTGATGCCATTACCGCGTGCGGCACTGATATTTGTAGGCAAGGCATTCATGTATTGCCAAAGTGGTTCAAAGAATGATGTCTGGCTGGCTTTAGTTCAACAAGGAATATAAGGCAAAACCATGAAGCAAAAAGAATGAAAGGTGTAGAAGAAGACAGGCGATAGCCCGTTTTTTCTGTTTATTAGTGGTGCAGATGAAATGGGGAAAATCTGGAACAAGCAGCCAAGTAGACTCAATTAAAAAGAAAGAGTAAAGGAGTTAAATGTGTATAACTTGGCGGACAACCAAGGAACAATATGAGAGCTGTCCACAACTCTCCAAAGTATATACATAAAAAGAAGAGTGGGGAATTTTTATCTACTATAGAAGTGTGAATATATGAAATAATAATGAGATAAAATAAAAATAAAGAAATCTGACTTCAAGCAGCAAAGGAAGTAATCTTGTAAAGATTAAGAAAGGCTGCTTCCTTCTCTTTGGAAGTATTTATCATCTTACTGACCCTCACTGCAGTAAACAGTAGATGATAGGAAATGACCACATACTGCCAGAGGACTGGACCTGATGGAGAAATGAAAATGAAGTCCCATTTGCTTACCTGAGGATTCAGATATACTGGGATCCTCTTTGCATATGTCCAATCTGCTTAATGCAGAAGAACCTGCAAGATCACAAAAGACGAAGTTGTTGTTATCATCAAAATAAACCTAGCCTACATTCTGAATCCTGACTCAGGCCGTTGGAGATATGAAACTGGACAAAAGCTGGCTTTGATGATCATTCTGGTTCTTAGATATTCCAAGAAAGGAGAAGAACTTCCAAGAACAGAAATTTACTGAGTGAATCTAAGGTCCCAATTAATAGGAACTCTTTTTCCAGCTGACCCAAGGATTTCCCAAACCCAGAAAATAACTCAGATTAAAGGTCCTTAACCTTGATCCACAGATAGCTTTCAGGGGTCTATGCACTGCTGAATGATACATGTAAAACTTGTGTCATTACGTAAATGGGTATCCCTGAGGAGAAGGTCAACAGTTTGTCAATTCTCAAAAAGTTCCATTAAAAAAAAAAAAAAAAGGTTAAGAACTTCTACTGAAGTTGTTCTAAAATCTCAGAGGCAGATTGGAATATACATGGATAAACAGTCCAGGCCAAGAAATCTGTAAGACAGCCAAGAAATTCGTAAGACAGCTACCTGGCCAAGCTACTGGAAGAAATCCACATCTGTGCCAATTTCAAAGAAAGGTGATCCAATGGAATGCGAAAATTATTGAACAGTATCATTAATACACAAGCAAAATTTTGCTGAAGATAATTTAAAAATGGTTGCAGCAGTACATTGACAGGGAACTACCAGAAACTCAAGCAGGATTCAGAAGAGGATGTGGAAAGAGGGGTCTCATTGCTGACGTAGATGGATCTTGGCTAAAAGCAGAAAATACCAGAAAGATGTTTACCTGTATTTTATTGTCTATGCAAAGGCACTCGACTGTGTGGATGGAAAAACGGCATGAAGGTAGTGTCTGACCTCCTCTAACCTCACAAGTGGGAAGAAGAACCATGATCAACAGCCCAAGGCTGATTCTTATAAGGTGGAGGTTAAATATGCCTTCTCTCTCCACCATGTTTACCAATTCTGACACCAACTGTCCCTCCCACAGCACTCTCTACTTCTCTGCTGGGTTCGATAATCCATTGTAATGGCCACACAGAACTCACAGGCCATACTCACGATTATGGGGTTTATTAGGGAAGTAACACATTAAAATTCACGCTCAGGAACACTCAAGGATACAGTTCTTCCATCAGGACAAGCCTCTTCCCAGCCGAGCTCACAGGCACACCTCTCCCTGGCCTTCAGTCTCTGCCCAAAGGCACTCAACTTTCTCGATCCTTGGGCCGGGAAGCCCACTGCTCCATCTCCTGCGGGTCTCTCCTTCCTTGGTGGTGGTGGGCTCTTCTCTCTCCTGCTTCCAGGGTGGCTCATTTTAAAACCCGTGGAATGGCAAAACTGACCAATCCCTTTGGTGGGCCACAATTACCCTATCACACAGTCCTACCCAATCACTTGGGTGGGAATTACAAGACCATGCCTAGAAAGGTCACACAAAAGCAAACTATGGCACCGCAGTGGATCACAACCAATTATGGACAGGTAACATTGTGAAATGGGAATTCCAGGATGCTTGATTGTATTCATGAAGAACATGTCATAGACCAAGAGGCAGTTGTTCGAACAGAACAAGGGGATATTGCCTGGTTTAAAATCAGGGAAAGGTTTGTGTCAGGGTTGTATCTTTACACCATACTTATTCAATCTGTATGCTGAGCAAATAATCCAAGAAGCTGGACTATATGAAGAAGAACTCGGCATCAGGATTGGAGGAAGACTCATTAGCAACACGTTGTTTGCTGCTTCCAGGGGCACTGACTGTGGATCCAAGTAAAATGAAATCCTTGACAACTTCAATGTTTTCTCCATTATCATGATCTTGATTACTGGTCCAGTTGTGAGGATTACTGTTTCTTTATGTTGAGGTATAATCCATACCGAAGTCTGAAGTCTTTGATCTTCATCAGTAAGTGCTTCAAATCCTCTTCACTTTCAGCAAGCAAGGCTGTGTCACCTGCATATCACAGGTTGTTAATGAGTCTTCCTCCAATCCTGATGCCCTGTTCTTCTTCATACAGTCCCGCTTCTTGAATTATTTGCTCAGCATACAGATTTAATAAGTATGGTGAAAGGATACAATCCTGATACACACCTATCCTGATTGTAAAACAGGCAGCATCTCTTTGTTCTGTTCGAACAACTGTCTCTTGGTCTATGTACAGGTACTTCATGAGCACAATTAGGTGTTCTGGAATTCCGATTCTTCACAATGTTATCCATAATTCCTTATGCTCCACACAGTTGAAAGCCTTAGCATAGTCAATAAAATACAGGTAAACATTTTTCTGGTATTCTCTAATTTTGGCCAACATCCATCAGACATCAGCAATGATATCCCTCATTCCATGGACTCTTCTGAATCTGGCTTGAATTTCTGGCAGTTCCCTGTCAATGTACTGCTGCAATCTTTTTTTTATTATCTTCAGCAAAATTTTCCTTGCGTGTGATATTAATGATACTGTTCGATAATTTACAAATTCTGCTGGATCATCTTTCTTTGAATAAGGCACAAATATGGGTCTCTTCCAGGTATTTCCAATGAATAAGTCGCTGGTCTTGCAAAATTCTATCATTCGATCTCCAGCATCCTTTCTATAACCAAGGCCATATTTTTCAACTACTGATCCTTCTTCTTTGTTTCCAACTTTTGCATTCCAAACCCATAAAACCCAAACCCACTGCCGTCAAGTCGATTCTGACTCATAGCGACCCTATAGGACAGAGGAGAACTGCCCCATAGGGTTTCCAAGGAGCGTCTGGTGGATTCAAACTGCCGACCTTTTGGTTAGCAGCCGTAGCTCTTAACTACTATGCCACTAGGGTTTACTTCCAATCACTAGTAATTACTGATGCAACTTGATTGCATATTTAACCAATTTCAGACTGCAGAAGTTGGTAAAAATCTTCAATTTCTTCATCTTTGGCTTTAGTGGTTGGTGTGTAAATTTGACTAATAGTTGTATTAATTGGTCTTCCTTATAGACATATGGATATTATCCTATCACTGACAACGTTGTACTTTAGGACAGATCTTAAAATGTTATTCTTGACAATGAATGTGACGCTGTTCTTTTTCAATCTGTCATTCCAAACATAGTAGACCATGTAATTGTCTGATTCAAAATGACCAATCCAATTCATTTCAGCTCACTAATACCTAGGATATCGACCTTCAAGTGTTCCATTTCATTTTTGACAACTTCCAGCTTTCCTAGATTCATACTTCATACATTAAACTTTCTGATTATTAATGGATATTTATAGCTGTTCTCATTTTGAGTCCTGCCAGATCAGCAAATGAAGGTCCCAAAAGCTTTACTCTAGCCATGTCATTAAGGTCGACTCTACTCTGAGGAGGCAGCTCTTCCCCTGTCGCATTTTCAGTGCGTTCCAACCTGAGGGTTCATCTTCTGGCACTATATCAGGCAATGTTCTGCTGTTTCCTATGCGTAACGTTTTCACTTCCGACATCACAGCATCAAGCAACCCATCACAGTACCACAAACTGACAGACGAGTGGTAGATAAATCAAGTAAGAAGAGGGAAAAGTATCTTTCAAGGTTCTATGTTTCAAATAATAATCATGTAGTGTATTCTTCCCAGAATTAATTTATTTATATGTTCACCTGCTAAGTATCTATCTGGCATTGCACTTAGTGCTGGGAATTCAGCAGTGAACAAGAGAAACCAAACCTGCCCTGTTGGAGCTTAATTTTTGGGAGAGTGAGAAGCATGCATGAAGACAAACAAGCATAGCAGTATCATTTCAATTTGTGTTATCTGATATGAAAGAAATAAACAAGATGATGTGACCAAAGCCTGGGAGAATAACCTGCATCTATCCAGTACATCTCAGAGATGTTCACTTCAATTCTCAAAGTCAGTCAGGATCATAGAAGACTGAGACAGGGAAAGGACCATAGGGACAGTTAGTCATACCTCTTCATTTCAGAGATAAGGACAGGGATAGGTATTCTGTAAGACAAAGTATCACAGCCTCATTATCTCCACATTCCAAAATACACCTAGACTGAGTTATGACTTTATGGTACACGGTTTGCCTTTAGAAGGTAAGTCTGAGAACAGGTAACTGAACAGCATGTCTAGATATTTTCAAAAACTGGCTGAGGATACTGTACACTTTGCACCCTTAATACAAAGAACCACATTCTATCCAAATTCTTGTAAGTTTCATTCAATTAAAATAATATTTTTTGTTTTGTTGGCCTTTTTGGTTTATTTTGTTTTGCTTCTACAGACAGATCTGACCAATTTCTACTGTCAAAAAAAAGGAAAGCATGGTAGCTAGCCTTCAAAATGGCCCCCAATATCTTGAGTTCATGAAATTCATGCCTTTGTGTGGTCCTCTCCTACATGTATCAGGGTTGTGCTGACTGACCAACTGAATACAGCAGAAGTCATGGTGTGGGACTTCTGACATTAAAAGCTAAAAGACATTACAGTATCTTCCTTGTTTTTTTGGATAATTTGTTCGAGGTTAGCCAAGTGCCACACTGTGAGGACATTCAAGCACCTCTACGGAGAGATTCATATGGAAACCTCTTGCCAACCACCAGCATCAACGTGACAGCTATGTGAGTGAACCATCCTGGAAGCAGATCCTTAAGCCTAGTCAAACCTACATGACTCCACTTAGACCTGTGAACCTGCTTAGGTTTTCTGTGTTGTGAACATCAAGTTTCAGGATACATGGTTAGTCTACCTGGTAACTGAATCAGGAGTTTGGATACCTGAATCAAGGGGTAAATGAGAGAATTTATATTGCTCTGCTTATCTTAATATAAGACAAAGATAAACCACCACTCGTCTGTCAGTTTGTTGTATTTTGGTGGCTTGTGTGTTGCTGTGATGCTGGAAGCTGCACCACCAGTGTTTTATGCCTCTTCGAAACTCTCTTTCATTGGTTTCCCAGGCACCCACACTCAAAGGCCTCCTCTCACCTTTGGGTCTTCTCTATTTCACCTTTG